GAAGAGCAGCTGCGCCGCCAGGAAGAGGACAGGAAGTTCCGACGGGAACAAGAGCTGCGCCAGGAGAGGGAGGAAGAGCAGCAGCGCCGCCAGGAGCGCGACAGGGAATTCCGACAGGAGGAACCGTTTCCTCGGGAGAGGGAAGAGCAGCTGCGCCGCCCTGAACAGGACAGGAAGTTCCGACGGGAACAAGAGCTGCGCCAGGAGAGGGAGGAAGAACAGCAGCGCCGCCAGGAGCGCGACCGACAGTTCCGACAGGAGGAGCCGCTCCGTCAGGAGAGGGAAGAGCAGCTGCGCCGCCAGGAGCAGGACAGGAAGTTCCGCAGAGAACAAGAGCTGCGCCAGGAGAGGGAGGAAGAGCAGCTGCGCCGCCAGGAAGAGGACAGGAAGTTCCGCAGGGAACAAGAGCTGCGCCAGGAGAGGGAGGAAGAGCAGCAGCGCCGCCAGGAGCGCGACAGGAAGTTCCGTGAGGAGCCAGAGCTCCGGCAGGAACGTGAGCAGCAGCTGCGCCGAGATCGCGACCGAAGATTCCAAGAAGAAGAACTGCGCCAGGAAAGGGAGGAGGAACAGCTGCGCCGGGAACGCGACCGGAAATTCCGACAGGAGGAGCAGCTGCGCCGGGAAAGGGAGGAGCAGCAGCTTCGCAGCCGGGAGCTCGAGCAACAGCTGCGTCGTGGTCGTGACAGAAAATTCCAAGAGGAGCAAGAGCTGCGCCGCCAGGAACGGGACCGAGAGTTCCGCCGGGAGGAACAGCTCCGCCAGGAACGGGACCGAGAGTTCCGCCGGGAGGAACAGCTCCGCCAGGAACGGGACCAAGAGTTCCGCCGGGAGGAACAGCTCCGCCGCCAGGAACGGGACCAAGAGTTCCGTGGGGAGCAAGAGCTGCGCCGCCAGGAACGGGACCGAGAGTTCCGCCGGGAGGAACAGCTCCGCCAGGAACGGGAGCAGCAGCTGCGCCGCCAGGAACGGGACCAAGAGTTCCGTGGGGAGCAAGAGCTTCGTCAGGAACGGGACCGAGAGTTCCGCCAGGAGGAAGAGCTGCGCCGCCAGGAACGGGAGGAGCAGCAGCTACGCCGCGGTGGTGACCGAAAATTCCAAGAGGAGCAAGAGCTGCGCCGCCAGGAACGGGACCGAGAGTTCCGCCGGGAGGAACAGCTCCGCCAGGAACGGGACCGAGAGTTCCGCCGGGAGGAACAGCTCCGTCAGGAACGGGAGGAGCAGCAGCTGCGCCGCGGTGGTGACCGCAGATTCCAAGAGGAACAAGAGCTGCGCCGCCAGGAACGGGACCGAGAGTTCCGCCGGGAGGAACAGCTCCGCCAGGAACGGGAGGAGCAGCAGCTGCGCCGCGGTGGTGACCGCAGATTCCAAGAGGAGCAGGAGCTGCGCCAGGAAAGGGAGGAGCAGCTGCGCCGGCAGGAGCGCGAGCGCCAGTACCGCCGGGAGGAGCGGTTTGTCCGGGAGGACAGCGGCCGTCCGGAACGGGAACTGCGGCGTGAAGAGCAGATCCGTCGTCAGGAGCAGGAGAGGAAAGTCCAAGAAGAGCAGATCCGTCGCCAGCAGGAGGAGCAGAGGCGCCGCCAAGTCCGGGAGCGACAGTTCCAAGAAGACAAGCATCGTGGGCAGGTCCTGGAGCCTGGCAGAAGCCAGTTTGCCCACGTTCCCGTGCGCTCCAGCCCTCTCTATGAGTACATCCAAGAGCAAAGGTCTCAGTACCGCTCCTAAGAGATGCTGCCAACATCCTGACACCTGCCGAAGCTTCAAGCCAAAGAAAATGAGAAACACAGCGTACCAAGTTATAACTTACAAGTTTCTGGTTGTGGGGAAAATCTCTGGTGTTACAATGCGTTTTTTCTTCCAAAATCTCCTATTACACTTACTCCATTACTTTGTACTCCTGCCTTTCATTCTTCCTCGGGTAGTTCTTTATGGCAAGATGTCTGCTCATTGGGCCACATGTGTCCATTAAAAAAAAAATACTTGTCATTCATTTGTATTGGGAGTTTTGTTTGAGAAACACATTGATTTATTGCTTTAAAAATAACAAAAACAATACAATTTGAGACTCGAAACTTTGGTCGGTGATTTTAATGGCTGATCATCTTGTGGAGAATTCACATATTTTTTAAGTTAGTATTTTTACTTGGACCTAAATTTTATTCGCCTTTACCTTCAAATAGTTTCTCTATTTTGTCATAATTATCATAGATTCTACCAAGTAGCTAATATTTTACAACTCCCAATTCCATCTGCAGAAAAATCCCATGTGAATTTAGGCAATACCTGGAAGAAATAGCTGTTGTGAATACGTTTTTAACTTGAAAATTTAAAATTTGGGATTAGATATTTTTATACTTAACTCCACTTGAAACATTTTAAATCTCATGAAGCAAAATCAGGGTGTTTCTCATACTTCCAAACTCAAGTTTTAAAACTGTGTCTGTAGTTTGTAGTATGCAGTTCTATTCCCTCAAGTTCTGATGAGTTTGAGACTATTGCTGCTTTTGTTTACAGCTGAGAAGGAGCCTAATCAAGATCTTATAAACATCTGTCTTGCTCTAAGGACAAAAGAGACCACAGCATGTTTGGGAGAGGGGGAAATGTAAGGTTTCTAGAAATCCTTTGATAAGACTCATCAGCCCCATAATCCTTTGAGGCCTGATACTACCTTGGAGACATTCTTGTTGAAATGATTGGTCTTTGTGAAAAATTAATAAATGTTTGGCAAATTACTTTCTTGTCTGTTTTAATTGTGTGTCAATCACAACTCAGTAATCATATCTAATACTCTGGAAATGGAAATACATTCCTGTTCACTTAAGGTATTTTGTTACTATCATCTACATGTAAATATGAAGAGGGGAGATGAACACTTTCTAGTTTCCTCACCCATTTTCCCAGTTGGAGTGAATCTTGAATTATCTCCATCCCCTCATGAGTTCTCTTTCCAAATGTTTTCTATCCTTGACCTCACAGCTTTCTGTGGCCTTTTTGGCAGTGACTCACTAGTCATGGTGAATTCTGCTACTCCCAATGTTTGCTAATATTTCCTTCTGATATTGAAGCAGCTTCTTGATCACTGATGCTTGACCAATTAATGGTAGAAAATGTTCTTAAATGTTCAGCACTATAGACATTGTAGGTGATCTGATTTAAGCAACATAATCCATGGGATGACTGAATCAAAAAATGTTAATAATAAGGCTGAAGGATTAAATTTTCATCTCATGATCCAAATGCTCTCTTGCTAATAGCTAGAGTCTGTTTGCATTATTCAGTTTAGTAATTAGAATATTTTAACTAGATCTCTTCCATTATAAATGGAACATCACTATTTCCAATTGTGAAGATCATGAAGAAGAAAAATGCCTAAAGTTACAGTCTCTCAATATTTTTGCCCAGTGGTGGGGACAAGAAAGCTAAGCCTACATCTCTTGAGTATAATTCTGATTGAGTAAAGTGGGACTTCCTGCAGTGAGTCTGTCTCTCTGTCTCTTGCGCTCTCACTCACTCACTCTCTCGCTCTCTCATTTTAATACAAATAGAAGATGCCCACCAAAGACAGAGCTAAAGAATCTGACAATATCTTAGAATTTTGCTTCCTTCAAATAATTTCTAACTAATTTTTTTTCTTCTAATAGCATCTTTCTCTTACTGAAGGAGAGAGAACCTAGAAGAGCCTCACTGGCTTTCTCTGAGTCCCACTCAAAGGGCACTTTTTTGGCAGTCTCCTTATAAATTCCCAGTCCTAGGATACTACTGAAACTATAATTATCAGCTAATTCATAGTTAACAATAGTAATTATAGTAAAAAGAAAATAAAAGCCCTTTAGACTTCTTATAGTATTTTACAAGATAAGGAAAACATTAGTTTCCAAAGAAAGTACTGTTACATCATAGTTTGATACTATGATTTGTTGTTGTTGTTTAAGTGTATCAGCTAACCCCTAGCCTCTAGCTGTTAGCACATACTGAGCAGGTCAATCCTCCTGTTCCAGGTGAATAATACACATGTATGGGCTGGACCTTGAGGGTGTTGGGTAATTATTTAACTATAAACTGGGAGCTCTAGTAACAACACATTAGCTGCTACTGGAAGTTAGGTGAAGAGTTTAATATGCTATAATGAAATATTGGGTCTCTGTGTTATGAGCAGAATGTGTCCTCACACAGATTTATATGTTGATATCCTAACTCTCAGTAGCTCAGAATGTACCCATACCTGGAGATAATATATTTAAAGATATAATTAAAATGTATTTGTTAGGTTGGGTCCTGATCTGATATGACTGCTATGGTTAAATAAGAATAAGAAGGAAACTGAGGGGAGATGATGCAAAGTCATAGGGAGAGGATGGTCATTTGTGACTAATATAGAAGCCTGGAACAGATCCTTTCCTTATGACCCTCAAGAAACTGAGTCTACTGACATCTTGATCTTGGATTTCAAGCTCCAGAACTATGAGAAAATGAATGTCTTTTGTTTAATCCATTAGTAATGGTACTTTGTATGACAACCCTAGCAAATAAAGGTGGAACTATGTTGATAGGTAAGCCTACATGTACTATGATAATCCTTTGACATTGCAAAGCAGGTCTGGTTGCTTAAAGATACTCGTTAAATCTATCATTGCTATGGTGTAAGGAAAAAAATTAAATCCCTGGAGTTCAGTTATCTGTTCACTCCACAAATATGTATTTACATAATATTGTACTCCTGTTATGTGCCAGACATTGTTACAAGCAATGTACATTCAGTGGCAAGACAATTTTGGCTTTTTCCTTTGGTTTACTGTGTGTGACCTCATGTAAGCTATGTGGGTTTTCTGAACTCCATTGTTGTATCACATAGGCAATTGCCAAGATTGGGCTGTGGGGGGACATTCAATTCTAACATTCAAATTCTGACATTCAATTTGTTCAACTGAAACTCTGAAAGTAACTCAAAGAATCTTTGCCCCAATGTCTACCTTTAACTAATACAAAACAGGAAAACAAATTAGCCAATATGCAACCATGGGCCTACTTCAATTTCATAACTATCTCCTTTGCAGCCAACTAGTGCTGAAATTCCTTCTATCTCCCCCAAGCTCTTCTTTTTACTTTTATCAAGGCAGAGAACTCTAAACTGATTCCATTTTCTTTACCCCAATACTACCAAAGATCATTGCCTTTCGGATCTATTAACTTCACAAATGCATTTGTTTTCCCCGTTATTTTCTAATTTAGTTCCACTGCAACTAAAATTCAGCGGCTATTAGTGGTTTTTTGCATCTAACTACATCCTTTGCACTACATATTGTTAATATTTGAATTCAGTCACTTTTATTATGTTTTTCAGCATTACTGTAATATTCTGAAGATTTTAATCTATGTAATATGATATAAGCACATTCCCCTTGTTAGTAGAGTTGAGAGCTGCATGCAATAATCTGAAACCAAAATTACATTTCTGGAGCTTCAGGATGTGCATGGCAAGCAAGCAATTACAAAAACTTTTAGAAATTTGATTTGCCACTACTCTCCTTAAGAAATATGTGGCATATTTGCCGGATGCTGGTGGCTCATGCCTGTAATCCTAGCTACTCAGGAGGCTGAAATCTGAGGATCACAGTTCAAAGCCAGCCGGGGCAGGAAAGTCCGTGAGACTCTTATCTCCAATAAACCACTAGAAAGCCGAAAGTGGTGCTGTGGCTCAAGTGGTAGAGCACTCACCTTGAGCTGAAGAGCATAGGGACAGCGCCCAAGCCCAGAGTTCAAGCCCCACAACCGACAAAAAGAAAGAAAGAAAGAAAAAAAGAAAGAAATATGTGGCATTTTTTTACAAGATAATGTCCAATTCCTTTTGATTGGAATGGAAGGCCTACCACATTCTAGTGTCAATCTATCTTTTAGACTTTGGATCCCACACTATCTCTGAACCAACCGTATTTTCATTTGGAAACAATATCATTTTCCTTACTTCAAAGACAGGTTGGTATAGTTTTATCTGCTGGAATACCTCTTTCTTCTCTACCAGATCCACTTCTACTCAGTTTATAAGACCTAGGTTCAGTCCCAACTACTTTCTAAAAATCTTTCCTAATCATATTGACACACAAAGATATTTCTCTTCACTGAGATTCTAAGGCATCTATACTCTTTGCTACTCATGTGATTACAATAGTCTGCCTTCGTTGATGTTACACCTGCTTCCTCTTCTTAGCTAGATGTAAATACCTTGTAAATAAGAAACCACAACTTGAATGGCTTTTCTTTTGTCCCTTCTTTCTATGTTCAACAATAAGCAACATAGCTCTAGGAAATCCTGAGGAAATAAAAGGATTTTCTCACTAGAAAAACATACATTCAAAAATGTATGTTTGGGGATGGGGGGAGGGTGGCTCAGTGGTAGAGTGCTTGCCTTGAGCTGAAGAGCTAAGGGACAGTGCCCAGGCCAGAGTTCAGGACCCACAACCAACAAAAAAAAAAGTACATTTGGAGGTTCTTAGTTTTCTAACAAGCCTTCTTAACTTCATGCTACTGTCTCAAGGAGTTATAAGAATTAAGATGCATAAAAGTAGGCATTCAGTAGATAGGTATAAAGGAGTGAACTAATACAGCTTTTTACAATTCTTTTCTGTCCAGGGCCTCTGTAGAACATGCTATCCCTCCCTCTTGAAGTCCTAATTCCTTTCTTTTATCTTGAAAATCTCTCAACTTCAGGCATCACTAAGGCATTGCTGAATATAAATGATTTCTTCTTTGGTGTATTATGGGTCTACCCAAGTATTGGAATAAGCTTTGGTTACTAAGGGGCATGTGTAAATGTCCCTTAATATGATAAGAATGCAGGAGTAGATCAAAGAAATGATGACTTCTGGTTATATATATTGTTGGGAGAAGGATGAGTGCAGTGAGAAGCAAAAGAGATTTCAATCCCAGACTGTGTCTGGTTTCCTTATAGAGATTTGAATTATGCATCTAATTTCTACAACTCTTGAGCCCAGTATTTTAGCATGATAAGAATGCTTCATTGTAACCATTAGGAGTATTTTCCTTTTGAAAACTTTCCTGTCTCACATTGAAAAAAAGAAATGGAGTTGTTGAAATAATAGACCATAAAATCTGTATTACTCAAGGTTCTCCAGAGAAAATAGAACCAACCTCATTTATAAAGCATGTACATAGAGCCTGATCTGATTAAGCTAGGATTGTTAACCACTAGCAGGAAGTATACAGAATGAACTTAAGGTTTAGCAGTCTTCATAGGCCATTATAAAATCTCTCTCTTTGTCTCTCTGTGTATCTGTCTATCTGTCTCTCTCCCTCTCCCTCTCCCTCTCCCTCTCCTTCTCTCTCTTTCTCTCTCTCTCTCTTTCTCTCTCTCTCTCTCTCTCTCTCTCTCTCTCTCTGTCTCTGTCTCTTGGCCATACTGGGGAACTCAGGACCTCATCCTTGCTAAGCAGAAGCTATACCACTTGAGCCATGCCCCCAGTCCTTTTTGCATTACTTTATGTTTAACAAAGACTGTTGTGGTTTGCTTAGGGCTAGCCTTGAATCACAATCTTCTTTCCTGTACCTCCCACATAGTCAGGATTTCAGGAGTGATCCACCCAATGTTTTTGAGACAGGGTCTAACTTTTATTCAGCCTGATCTGGCCTCAAACCATACTCCTTATGATCTCTGCCTCCCACATAGCTGATATTACCAGCTATATCAAGATTCCTTGTAATAGCT